ACCCCACAGGGAGGTGTGTTTGATGTGATAAAAAGGGCAAAGAGGTCAGAGTGACTGCAGAAAAGGGATGAGCTGGAAGTGGGAGGAGATGATGAGGGCAGAGAGAGCCACTAGCAGCAGCGTAGGGCCTTACAGTCCAGAGTAAGGTCTTTGGATTTCATTCTGAATGTGATGAGGGTCATGAGCAGAAGAGTGACATGATTTGATTTTTGTCAGACAGGAGCAAAGAAACAATCAAAAGATGTTTTTAAAATTAAAGAAATATCTGAGCATATAAATTGTAAGAACTCATGAAGTACCAGGCAAAATTAACAAAGAAAGCAACTCTTTGGTTTACTTTCAACCTTTGAAATACAGAAAATAATCTAATTAATATCTAGGCTGAAACAAAACGGAACAAGTTGTGTACAAAGAAAAAAAATATTCCGGTCTTATATTCCTTTGCTGTAACCCTATATATCATAAAACAATAGAAAAATGTCTAAAAAGTTCTGAAAGAAAACAGGTGTGACCTACCAATTATATATTTAGCCACAGTGTCATTCAAGTACAATGGAGAAATAGTTTCAGATATGCAGGGGCTTAGAATGTATAATCCATGTATATTTTCTACAAAATGACTTGCAGATATAGGCTTGCCAAATAATCAAATCAAGAATGGATATTGACCACTGTGCAATCTATGCATATAACAAAATTGTATTTGTACCCAATAAATTTATACAAATAAAAAAAGAATGAGTATTACTATAAAAAAGAGAAGTCGAGAATGTTAATAGTAGAATACAATGCACTACAATGTTTTTCAATAAAAAGTATTTTTGCTAATTATTATGAATACATATAAAAGTATATATATGACTTCTGGATGACACTGGGTGATTTTAATATTCTTTGTGTCTTCCAAATTTCCTATCATTGTTTTTCTCAATCGGAAAGATAATATATTTTCAATAGAGAAGGAAGAACTCATCTGGTCATATTCTCTGGTGTTTAATAAAATATTATGCTCCATATATTCTATTATATACATTCTAAGAGGAGAAAAATTGTGTTTCTAGGTCACTAATGAAACATAGATTCTTAATTTAGATAGAGCCTTAGAATATATCTAGCTGAATGGTTTTCAACTCAGGTTTTAGCACTGAATTCTTTGTTCAAGTGAAGAATTTAATCATCATTATCACCAAAGCTAATATTTATTAAGGATTTATTACTAGGTGCCAGGCAATAACTACTTTATGTGTAGGACTTCATTTAATCTTTACAACAACATGGTTTTTCAGAGGAAGAAACTGAGGCATAGAGTTGACATAACAATTGCTCAGTGTCACATGGCTGGTAAGTAGTGAGACAGATTTTGTACTTATCTTGTCTGACTAAAGCCGATGTCTTTGTTGCTAAGCAACACTCTGTGGAAGGCAGCCTCTAAAATAACCCACATAATCTCTGCCTCTTCGTATTCACACCCTTGATAATCCCCTCCTCTTGAGTATAAATTTAGCCTAGTGACTTGCTTCCAATGACTAATGTCTAGAATACAACAAATGCTATGAGGTATCACTTCTGTGATTGGGTTATAAGAGATTTTTTTTTTCTCTCTCAGACTTTCTCTATTGCTTTCTTGGTTTGCCTACTTTGATAAAACAAGACACCAAGTTGGACGGGTCCACCTGTCAAGAAACTGAGGATGGCCACTGGTCAACTTCCAGGAAGTGGTGAGGCCATCAGTCTGATAACTTTTGAGAAACTGAATTCTGCCAACAACCACACAAGAGAACTTGGAAGCAAATCCTTCACTAGTTGAGCCTTCAGATGAGACCATAGCCTGAATGACACCTTGATTTCAGCCTTATAAGAGACCCTAGGACAGAGAACCAAACTAGGCCATGCTCAGATTAATGAATATGAGTATGTTCTATTACATGGCAAAGAGGAATTAATGTTTCAGTTGAAATTAAATTTGCTAATCAGTTGACCTTAAGATGAAAAGGTTATCCTGGATTTTCAGTTCAGCCCAATGTAATCAGCAGGATACTTAAATATAGAAGAGGGAGATAGAAAAATCATTGTTAGAGTGATACAAGAAAAACTTGAATATATATTGCTGACTTTGAAGATGGAAGATGGCCACAAGCCAAGACATCCACTTTTAGTATGCTTATGTGAGTGAACACTGGTAATCATTTTTGGTGGATGACAATCACCCAAGAGAACCAAGAAGGGCTCATTCCTTCAAAGCTTTCCCTGGAAGGTTTCCAAATAAAAAGCAGAGCAAAAGATATGGTTTCCTAAGCTCCTCATGAGGAGAAAGTTTCTGGAAAGCTGATTTTGTGCCAACTGCCATCTCATTCCCAGGTTTTCTTTGTTGTCAAAACATTTTCAGTGGCTGAGTATCAGCAATCTCCAAACAAAGAAAAAGATTTTTGATCAAACTGTAACAAAAATAGTCACAGCTATTTTTATTCTTTGGTTGCATGTATATATTTGCATGCATTGCTGGGCTTATGATTGATTTGATTTAGTAAATTTATAATTTTCACTATTAAAGTTCAAGTAGTTTAGATAATGTTCATTGGTTCCTAAATAATTTTGTCTTTTTAATATCTACAAGAGCCAGCAAGGCAGCAATTAGCATCTAAGGCCATGGCATTTAAATATTTCTATTTCCTATTTAAATTGAGTTTTTCTAAACTAATTTTAACAATTACTTTTAATTTGTTATTTCTATAAATTTATTCCTAAAAACCACTAGTAAGGAAAAAAAATCTAACCAAAGTTTCATCACTTCTTCATTTTTGCTTTTTTCTCCTGTCTTTTCCTGGATGGTAAATGACTGAAAAATTAATAGCAGGAAAATAATAGGAAAAAAAAGTTAAATATATACTTTTCATGTAAGTGAAAATTTACTATGTTATGACACTGACATATGCAAACTGCAGTTATCTTCATTCCCTTCTTTTCCACCAACACTAACTTGATTTTCTTGATTGCACTTACTGCATTTTCCTTCTGGCAGTATGACCCACTGTAGATTTTCATATTCAAATGCTCTATTCAAATATCTTTTAAAGAAGACCCCAAAACAATCACAGCAGCAACAAAAATAAATAAATGGCATCTGATCAAATTAAAAAGCTTTTGCACAGCCAAGGAAACTATCATTAGAGTGAATAGACAGCCTACAAAATGGGACAAAATATTTGCTCTCTACACATCTGATAAAGGACTGATAAATCTATCTAGAACTTAAAAAAATCAACAAGAAAAAAAATCAAACAACCCCGTCAACAAATGGGCAAAGGAAATGAACAGAAACTTTTCAAAAGAAGACAGAATAATGGCCAGCAAACGTATAAAAAACTGCTCGACATCTCTAGTCATTAGAGAAATGCAAATCAAAACACAATGAGATATCACCTAACCCCAGTGAGATTGGCCTCTATAAAAAAATCCCCAAATGACAAATGCTGGCGAGGATGTGGAGAGACAGGAACACTCTTACACTGCTGGTGGGACTGCAAATTAATGCAACCTGTGTGGAAAAGAATTTGGAGATACCTCAAAGAGCTAAAAATAGAAATACCATTCGATCCAGCAATAGCACTATTAGGCATCTACGCAAAAGAGCAAAAGATATTCTATAATAAAGACATCTGCACCTGAATGTTTATGGCAGCACAATTCACTATTGTGAGGATGTGGAAACAACCCAAGTGCCCGTCAATTCATGAGTGGATTATTAAAATTTGGTATATGTATACAATGGAATATTACTCAATTATAAGAAACAACAATGATCTAGCACCTCTTACATTTTCCTGGATAGAGCTTGAGCCCATTATCCGAAGGGAAGCATCACAAGATCAGAAGAATGGGCTCCACTTGTACTCGCCATTAAATGAGCACTGACTGATCAACACTATGGTGCTCACATGGTAGTAATATTCTCCAGGGATTAGGGGGTTGGGGAGGGGGTAAACTCACAGCTAATGGACGCAATGAGCATTATGGAGGGGAAGGGCATTCCTCTAATCCTCGTTTGGGTGAGGCAAAGACATAAAATGTAACCAAAATGTTTGCACCCTCATAATATCCTGAAATACAAATTAAAAAAAAAAAAAGAAATTACTGAATATACAACATGAGTAAATCCCAATAACATTGTGATAAATGCAAGAAATCATATGAAAAAGAAAACATATTGGATGAAACACATTTATGTATTAACAAAATTTTAGAAAACAGAAATCTATAGTGACAGAAAACATATTAATGGTTTCCAGAGACCAGATAGTATGGAGGAGGAGATTAACTTCAAAAGGGTATGAGGGTACTTTTGGGTATGGTAGAAAAATCCTATAACATGATTGTGGTGATGGTTATATGACTATATACATTTTCAAAAGTTGTCAGTTCTACATTTAAAGTTGTGAATTTTATTATGTATATATTATACCTCAATAAAACTAAACCGTGTGGGGGAAAAAAAACAAATACCTTGCCTAAGAGATGTGATAATTAGCTGGGGATATTTTAATTAGTATTAAGAGAAAAAACTTTATGCTTAAATATAATATCTTCATTATAAATATTTAGAAGTAAGGGTAGGTGTGGTGGCTCATGTCTGTTATACCAGCACTTTGGAAGGCTGAGGCAGGAGGATCGCTTGAGCCCAGAAGTTCAAGGCTGCATGAGCTGTGATCACGCCACTGCACTCCAGCTTGGGCAATAGAGTGAGACTCTGTCTCCAAAAAATAATAAATAAATGAATGAATGAATGAATGAAAGGTACACAAAAATAGGGTCCAAATTGTGTCAAATTCCCAAATATTATTGGTGAAATTATGTACATGCTGTATTATATTGGCAAATTTATTAACATAGAAATATGTCTGAATATAACTTTTGTGAAATTTAAGGTGGCATAATATTAATATATTTTTTAATTATTCAATGATTATTTTTGAATGGGAGTATTCAACTGCAAATGGGATTACCAGGTTTCTGACTCTACAAAGCTTATTTTTAAGTACACTGTTAAACTGCTGGCTTCAAACCCTAAGTGGGTCACAATAACAATTTAGAGAATTATGATTAGAATTTAAGTGTATATATTAATTAAATGTAATAAGTATGCATATATATGTATATATAATATATATATACACACACACACACATATGGAAAAATAAAGTTTCAGAATTTATTATGCCTCTCCTTATCAAGAAGTTTTCTTATCTATATTTTCTGAAATTTTTATTTTGGTTTTGGTTTTGTACCTGTGTATATGTGTGTGTGTGTGTATGTGTGTGTTCTGTAGCACTGTAAATGTGGGGTTTTTTTTTCCACTTTGGATTGTGACCATAACATTTACAAACAGTGCTCTAAAACAGAACAAAATTAGCAAGCAAGTGAACAAATTACTAGGCTAAATAACATGATTCAGATATAGTGATCCAGGGAAAAAAGAGGGATAGAGATGTGTGGGAATATGGCAAGGGATGGGACGGTCGGGAAGGGTTATGAAGGGAAGTGGCCTGTGAAGTGAGACCAGGGATGGAAAGGAGCCAGCCATGCAGAGAGGGGAAAGAGCTTTACAGGCAAAAGGAGAAGCAAGCATGAATGCCCTGGTGTGGGAACCAATTTGTTCCAGTTAAGAAAGAGGCATGAGGACAGTGTGGCTAAAGATAAGAGAGAACATGAATGAGACAAAGTTGGAGGGATGAGTAGAGCCCTGACTACATGGGGCATTGTAAGCCATGGTAAAAAAACGAACAAAGAGATTTTGGCTTACTGAAAGGGGAAGACTTTGGAAGCTTTTATATACCAGAAAATGTCTTGATCTCATTGAAACTTGTGCAGGCCAATCTGGACGCCATGAGCTAATGGATTGTAGGAATGTGAGAGTGGAAATGTGCAAACTACTTGGGAGGCTATCACAGATATCAAAGTGAAGGGTGTCTGTGGCTAGAACTACTGCAGGTGGTAGAGATGGAGAGAAGGGCAAGAGCCAAAGATGTTTTGGAGGTAGAACAGGTAGCATTTGTCTGGAGAGGGTGGTAGAGTAAGAGAAATAAAGAGATCATAGATAATGCCTGATGCTTCACAAATGGTAGCATATTTTGCTGTAATAGGAAAGACTAGAAGAGTAGAATTTGGGTGGGAAGGTTTTAATTCTAGAGATTTATTGATACAGTTTGGATATCTGTCCCGTCCCAATCTCATGTTGAAATTTGATCCCCAATGTTGGAGGTGGGGCTGAGTAGGAGGTGTTTGGGTCATGGGGGTAGATCCCTCATGAATGGCTTGGTGCCCTCGTAGGGGTAATGAGTTCTTACTCCATTAGTTCATGGGAGAGCTGCTTGTTTAAAAGAATCTGGCAGCTCCTCTTCTCTCTCTTTGCTCCTTCTCTTGCCATGGGACATGCCTGATCCCCCTTCACTGTCCACCTAGATGGGGAAGCTCTCTGAAGCCCTCACCAGAAGCAGATGCTGGTGCCACCCTTGCACGGTCCGCAGAACTGTGAGCCAAATAAACCTCTTTTCTTTATAAATTACTCAACCTTAGGTATTTCCTTTCTAGCAATACAAAACGGACTAACACGTTTGTTTTTAACATGTAAGTTTGCAATGCCTAATACGCACACTTTTCATCTATAACACTGATTAAATTTTATAATTATACATTTGTGTAATTGTTTGCTTATTATAAAGTAAAAAGTCCTTCAAGGTAGGTGACATACCTGTTTTATTTATGTGTGCATTGAGCCTTATTTGCATGATACCTGGCACAGAACAAGCATTCAGGAAATACATTGAATAAATGACATATGTTTGTATTAATGAAAAATTGAATGAATATCAGCGATTGACTTTCTTTTGGTGATCATTTTTATCAAAGAAACCAGGTTTTAACAGAAGAGAATTTTGCATAATGGTAAGCCAGGAATAATGAGATGTCTACAAAGAACTGTGAAAATAAGCTCATTCATTTAAACACTTGCAGTTTTCTACAAATTTAAATCCTTAGCAGTTTTCTAGAGCAGCAGTTCTCCAACTTTAGTGCACATTAGGTTCAATTGGGGGTTTTGGTAAAACAGTGATGTTTGGACCGCACGCTCAGGGTGTCTGATTCAGGAGATCTGGGGTGTGGCCTGAGAATTTGCATTTCTACCAACTTCCCAGCTGTTGCTACTGGTCCAAGGAGAACCACTGCTCTATTGAGCAAAGACTCTGAACCTGGGGTTCATGGATCCTTGGAGGAAGTCTACAAATGGGCTACAGAGCATTTGTATATATATTCCTGGGGGAGAATGCAGAATTTTGAGGTATAGGCTACTTATCATTTTTCTGTTACTAGAACCTGCATATTTCATCAGAGTCTGAAAGAAGGCCTCCAAAATTAAATTAACATTATGAGTAGTGGTGCTCAATCATGGATACATACTGGAACCACAGGGGATTTTGGCTCTTCCATTCAATTGCTTTGGGCAAAATAAAATAAACTGTGGGCAAAATAACTTTTCTGTACCTCAAGTTTTTCATCTATAAAAGGGAGATAATAATAGTATCTACTTAGTAGTTTTTTTATGAGGATCAAATAAGTTAACACCTGTAAATCACTTAGAGCAGTGTCTAACAAGTTCTAAATAAGATTAAAACCTGGGAGTGTCTTTGAGTTGAGACTCTACGCCTGGTGATTCTAATGCACGGCCATGGTTGAAAACTACTGTTCTGAGAAAACGAGAGAATACACCAGACCAGTCAATACCTTTCTTGGGAATGTGGGGTTAATTTCCTTTCAGTGAGCCAGACTTCCCTTCCAGAGGAGTTTAGCTAAGAAAACTAGACAGGGAAAACAAGAGCCTTAGCATCTTGGGAGATAATTTGTCTTTGTAAAATTTTAATAGTTGTTTCATGCTTCTTTTCTTGTAATGGTGGGAAAGGGCTGAGGAAAAGGGGCAGAAGGAAACAGATTGGCTTTATCCATGCTGATTGTCATTTTTGTTTAAACTCATTGCAAACAACAAAAACCTATTTTTTGTTGCTAGTATTATAAAGAAATGATCAGAGAGGCAAACACTAACTGTGGGGGCCAGCCTTCAAGATGACATCAGTGATCCTCGACTCTTGGAGTTTGTGTCTTCATGTGCTCTTTCCCACACTGAGCAAGAGGAAACCGCGTGACGGATAAGATACTGCAGATGTGATGAGTGTGGTTCCCCATGCTGGATTGTAAGAGACATGGCAGCTTTAGCCCTTGCTCTTGCATTGCTCACTCGGGGAGAAGCCAGCTGCCATGCTTCGTGGAGAGTCAAGCAGTTTGTGAAGAGGTCCATGCTGGGAACAACTGAGGTCTCCCCCAACAGCTCACAACCACTCGACAGCCCTGTGACTGTGACACATGTGATGGTGTCACCTAGGAAGGGGATCCCAGGCCATCAAATCTTTGGCAGCTATAGCCCTGGTGGACATCTTGACTGTAACCTCACAGGACACCCTGAGCCAGAACCTCCCAACCCACAGAAACAATGAGAGATAATATATAATTATTTATGTTGTAAGTCACTAAGTTTTGGGACGATTAGTTATATTATGATATCAGATAACTGATACACTAACCCTAACCTTGTATTTTTTAGATATCTGAGCTGAGAGTTTCTCTTTTACTATTTTGGTGCTACTGCAGGAGATCTATTTATTTTATTCTTTTCTGAGTCTTTAAGCTTGGCTAACATGATTAGCTGGCAAAGTGAGCATGCTCTAAGAGTGAGAGAAAAAGAGAACCCAGTCTCCTGCCTTGTCTCCTGAGGCCTCACATCTGAGAGAAAGACAAACATTGTGACTTTTGAGTAGTTCCAAGCTCAGTTATTAGAGGTCAGCTGTGTTCACGACAATATGGACCATGAATTGAGTTAATAAGGAATTTAAATTCTAATATCATCTCAAATGAAAAAAATGCAAGAAAGTTCAGTGCTTTATGGGAGCACAGATGACCAGGTTGCCCAACTGCACCCTAGAATTGTCATTGTTCACAGCAGTTCTTTATTTCAAAACCAAATAAAAAGAATTACGTGAGACAAAATTAGAATTTTCTTGTCAGAGTCTGAGTTTAGACAAGGAGAACATGTCCATGAAGACCTTTATGTTCTATTTATATACTGATCATGTAACAATTAAAAATACATGAACAGATAATGTGCCATCTCCTGATTCTAATAACCAGGTCACTGGGCTTTTAGAAACTCATTTCTGTTTACCAGAGATTCTCCTAAATTTCACCATTTTGGGAAGACATACTTAGCCATTGAACTTCATTTCAGAACACACAAGGGGTGTGTTCAACAAATGGATTTGCTTATACTGCTAGGGAGACCATGTTCATAGTCTGAGAAGTTAGCTTAGCCCCGTGCTTTTGCCATTTAATTATTTTTTAAGTTGAACCCAAGAAAGTGGCTGACCAGTTAATTACATACCTACTCTGATAGATTCGTCTCTACCAAGGGAACACGGTATACACTGCATGTTACTCAGGTCAACATATTTTAATTATCTTTTCCTCAAATAGATAATAAGATGAGTTAGTAGATGGTCAAAGGTTGACATGAGTAATAGCATTACAAACACTCCTGGATGTCCATTTTTCTTTTCTTTTATTTTAGAAACCAAATATTTTAGTCAGCATGTTTCTAAATTAATTATACACATAGCTTACCCTATCTACTCCAGAAATATATATAAAAAAAAGTAGTTTCAACTTAATTGCAATGGAGGAGGGGGCCGGAAGGACAGAAGGGAACTGCCAGAAGAGAAAAGTGTGACGTGCATTTACTCTAAGGGCAAAAGAGGATCCGTGCTTCCCAGGTTAGGTCAACTGAATTAACACTGACACTTGCCTTCAAAGTAAAGATGAAAGGAGGCAGGGATGTCCTAAGTTTCTGAGAAACACATTTAAAAGATGAAAAGCTGAGAATAATATGCTTCATTTCTAGTTTCCATTTTATTGCCTTTTAGGTTGATTCCCACACGGTCACTTCCTGCTCACCTTGTATGCAAGGTTTACTTGCCACTCCCACACCTCGCATTTTTAATTGTAATGCTTTTCCTTCCTTATTGTGATTTCAGTTCTTTTGGACGCGATAACCAGTATGTCCCAAACACTTTAGTGTATTTAATCTGCTGGAGAGCCCTGAGTGTACCAGGTGCTCAAGAGAGGTAGCTAAAGAAGGGCAGGGAAGGGCAGGGAGGGAGTGGGGAGAGAAAAGCAGGACAAGCCAAGGCAGGTGCAGCTGAAACACTTCTGTCTACCTCGGTCTTGCCCTAGTTCTCAGCATCTACCCTCACTGATCTCTTTTTCCCCATTAAATGACATAGGTGATTTACTGGAATGTTTCTAGACTTTAGATGTATGGCCTGACTGCTGATTTTTATTGACCACACCGTGAAATCTGTTTATGGCTAAAATTTGGCTCTATCTCATAAAAGTAGTTTTACCATGTGTTCTGTGTGTTGTGCTTGCTAATGTAAAATAGATTGTTATATATTAGAAATCCTTGAAGCTCTGACTCTCGTGGGGGCAAAAGCAATATATGTAACCTAAACCTTTGTACCCCCATAATATGCTGAAATAAAAAAAATTAAAATTAAAAAATTGAAAAAAAGAAAGCCTTTGGCTTAGGATTGAGGCTAAAAAGTATCCTGATTTACTATGCTGTCGCCCGAATACTAATATGGACAATTAAAGTGATGAATAATGTACTTTAATATAGAATGGACTGGAAAACGTATAAGAACTTTTAATAATGTGCAATTTCTGGCTCTAATCTGAGTGTAAATCATTCTGAATTATGTTGTTAATTTATACACACATATTCATATATGCACTGCTTTGGTGCACCTTAGATTTTTACTCAACCGTTATTTATTGAGCACCTACCACAAGCCAGGTTTGTGTTAAGGGCTGACACGTGGTCAACACAGTTCTTTTTTTCAAAGAGCTCATAATCTTGTATGACTGAAAATGTCACTAATAAGACCATCTATTTTACTAAAAAGCAAAACAAAAATTCAATCTTCAAAATATATATGAAGTATGCTGAACAGTGAAATATGGAAAATATTGGTACATAAAATGTTACCTAAATCCCCAGTTAAATTTACTCTAAGATTAATAAAACATAAATGGTAAAATTAATTGTCCATCTTATGTAATATTTGGCTTCTATAGCATTATGGTACAAAACAGCATTGAATGTTTCAAAATGCATTGAGTTTTGTTCTATTCAAACACAAGGTGAGGACAGTGGAACACAAAGGTGTTGAACTCTTGGAATGTTCCCAAGACCACACAGCAAAAGTGGACAACTGGATGTCTCCTCCACTGCCCTTTCCACTTCTCCACTGAGTTGAAATTACCTGGTAATGTCTTTAACTTATTTATTCCACAAGTAGTTACCAGAGTAACTTTATTTTCTAGACATCATTCTAGGCAATATGGATGATATGTTGGTAAAAATCACAGAAAAAAATCATATTATGGTAAAGAAGACACATAAAAAATAATCAAATGAACAAGCATAAATAAATAAAGAAATAAAAGATTATAATTAGTTGCTATTCAGAGGATTAAAATAAAGTTATTCCTGTGGGCAACTGTAGATACTATGCTCAGAGAAGTCCTCTCCGAGGAGGTGACATTAGCTGAGCCCTGCACGGCTGTTCATGAAGATTGGTGGGAAGAGAAGTCCAGGCACAGACCAGCCGGCAAGTAAGCCCTGATGCAGGAGTAAACTTTGATTGTGGTGAGGACAGGAAAGGAATCAACGACAACCCCTACGCACTTCCCTGAAGTAACCAGATGAATGGTGGTGATGACAATAGCAATGGAGAACAGTGGGGAAGCAGCAGGTTTTGACAGAGGAGATTGAGACTTTCATATTGACCCTATGAAGTTTGAGATGCCTGACAGGCATTCAAGGAGGGTGAGCGAATGCAAGGATGGGCCTAGGGAAATAAACACTATCTGAAAAAACTTACTTGCCTAGTAGACTGGTGGTTCCTGTTAATGTAAGAGAATTTTTGGATCCCAAAGAGACAGTGAAAGCAGAGAAGTGTAAAAGGACGTGGTTGGTAGGAGGCAGAGATGGGAAGGGCTGGGCCATTAACACACTAGAGAAGAAACACCTCATTGCAGAATAAGGAGTTTGTACCTCTGAGCAGTTCTGGTATAATTTTAAAGATTAGATAAACCTCTCTATTTGTGGCTGGGAGACCCTGACTTTCCCAGAAAATTGGGTGTTATAATCCATTGTATATCTTTTGCTTCAAATAAGGAATACTTCTGAATGTTCCCTCTGCATCGCCATGCAGCAAACTCACACTGTAGCAAAGCTATTATACGGAGTCACGGTGAGCATGAACTGTCAAGACCAGTCTTTCCCTAACAATCTATCTTCCATGCTGCCGTCAAAATGCCTTCTCTAAGTTGCAAATCTGAACAAGACATGTCCCTGTTGAAAATTCTCCATGGTCCTTTTTTTCTCTTAGCAGAGAGTCAAACTCCTCACCGTGGCCCACAAGGCCCTATATGTGGGTCCCTGCCAGTTCCTCCCCACTCACTTCTTGCTTCCTCTTGCTCCTCAGGCCCACTGAATTCTCTATTTTCAAATGTACCTTGTACTCACCCTAATTGCTAATGTTCTGTCCTCTGCCAAAAGCCCTTCTTGCTCCTACTTCTCCTTCAGGTCTTTGTCAAGATAACATTTCCTTAGAAAAAGCTCCCCTAAGAAGCTTGCTTTGTCCCCTAGCCTCAAGTGGTTTAGGTGCTTCCTCTAGACGCTTCATCATTAGTCCTGACCACTCCATCTTGCGACTGTCCGCGTGCATGCAACTCTCCTTTGTAATCTTGCTGAGGGCAGGGACCATGGCTGGCTTGTTACTATTATGTCCCCACACTGAGTGCACTGGTAGTCATTTAGTGTATATAGGCTCAGTATATATTTGTTGAGTAAGTGCAAAGAGATTTTTGTACCAGGCTATGAGTTGCTAGAAGATACAAACCTGGTTTATGGTTTTTTCTCCAACTCTAAACATAGTGCGGTTACTCAAAGATTATTTATAAAATTGTTTATCTTAGAGCTGTATTTCTCTTGCTTTGCATTGTATGTATGATTTGGACTTACTGTGAGTGGAGTTTCTGGTGAAGAGCCTTGCCATTGTCCTTGTGTAAGCTTTCGTCAAATTTTAACCTGCCTACACATGGATACTATTTCTAAGTTCATGTAGACAAATATCTGGACTAATACTATTCACTTACCCCCTCAGTGGTTTCCTCTGGTAAATTAACTGCCATAAATTATTCCTGCATCTGAGCATTATTCTATAAGTGAAATGCTCATTATGATCCTGCAACTTAGACCACCTGATTAATAACGCATATACTTCTTTAGGGCTTTCAACACTTTGCAAGCTTTATCTTCTAACATGTGGAAATAAGTTTTAGAACTAAATTGATCACAGTAATCAAAGTTTCAATGTAGCAATTCTTTATACTTAAAGCCAAGAACACAAAATCATAATTTAACTAAAACATGTACTCTAATAAGTATAAATATTTGTAATTACCTTCTAATGCATATTTCATATCCAGAGCAAAAAGAGTCCACATGATTTCAGCACTTACTTTTCCCATGTTCAGTTCTTGAGGAAACCTAAAACCAAACACATTTTATTGTGTATAAAAAGAATAATGTGTCTAAAAAACAAAATACCTAATTTCACATATATGACACAGTAGTTATTACATAGTTTGTAAATACTCTATGAAATTTCTTTTTGTGAATTTTTATAGGTAGGGAACAAAGCTATACACCAGAGTATAGTGTTAAATTAATTATTGGGTGGTGGGAAATATTCTTCAATATATCAGTGCCCAAGTAATGGTGCTCAGGTCTCCCCATGGATGTTTCATAATGAGTGTTTGTTTATGAGGCGCCCCTTCATGTTTATCAAACACTCCACCTTCCTATGTCTCAATTTTGAAGATAGGTCAGATCAACCTGAATAGCAAACACCAGGGAACAGCAAAAAAAATCACACCCCACATGCATCCCTTAGCTGTTTTCCACAAAGCAAAGTTGAGCATTTCTATTCTCTGTTTTCTTAAAGTGAATTATTTCAAGAAAGACTCCTCGTTCCCTCTGGTAAAATGCCTTATGGTGGACCCATTAATCAGCACTCCAAAATGCCCCCTAGACAGGTCTGTGTTTTAGACCAAACAAGCTTAGGCTAAAAACAAGATTCCTGCTGCTTCTGAATATGTATTCTCTTCGCATGTGTATTCAGTCCCACAGTAAGGCTCCTAGTAACATAAGCTCAGTGAATATGATGACCAAGTCTTTTAATTACATTGTAAACACTTATTCCATGCTAGAATGTAGGACTGAAAGTATTTTCTTTATATATACAAAATGAATATATATACATACACGATACATGCGTGTGTGTGTCAAAGAATAATGATAGCCCTCATATTCATCCACATTTGGGGCTCTAAATCAAAAAAGAATAATATCACCCTGTATAGGATAGAAAGTACTATCTAAGTAAATACATGACCTCAAATAAGAAAAGACCATTGACACCCATTGAACGATTCTAGTCCAACTTTCCATCAAAAGGAGGATGTGTTTCAATATGCCTTACTGATTGCCATCTATCAATTTGTCTAATAAGGTCAATTGATATTTTAAAAACTTAAATGCAGAAGCTTTACATTTATTAAACTCATAATTCTTTCTTATGATAAAAATTATTAATAATAGAATACAACCTGAATATATGGAGATTAGTTTTCAACATTAAATTTTACTTTATTGATGTAAAAAAATAATCTTAGGAAAACAATTTATCTCAAAATATTTCATTTGTGCATGGGTACTACCATCACACAATTTGCAGTATATTAATTTTTATGTAATAGACACACAGCAATAAAATAAGTGATATAATGAGAGTACTTTGAGCTCATAAAAGGGGGAAATTGACTAATCATTTCAATTTCTTTGAATCAAGAATAAAGTAAGAACATATTAAGTCAATTCACAGTTTCCTGATTAAAAAAATGATATTATGCAG